TCAAGGACCCTAAATATTAACAGCCATAACGATGTCAGTGGGGCTTCGTAACTGACCGCGCCACCTCAAGCAGGACGTCATCCGGACGCTCCCGGCAGTCCTGTCAGGCGGCTTCTTCTGTCTGGTTCTTAGTAGGGAATGGGGGGAAATGGGCTATGGGGACTGTTATTGGGGATTCTATAGGGACTGCTATAGGACTATAGGGATCAATTCCCCCATTCCCTACTAAGCACCAGACAGTCTTTGTAAAATATACCATAAGACTGTTGCTGGCTGTGAAGGAATACAGCTGGCAAGACCTCTATACAATGAACTCGTGATTTTAAGGGCTTTAGGGGATGATGCGACCTAGAAACCCCAAGAAGTGAAGTCTAGGGCCTGGGGAGCTCAAACACTACAACCGCGAAATACGAAACCTAAGATGCCTCAACCTGCGAGCCCTGACCACGAACCCCGAAATGAAATGCAAGGAGATGTAAAGGTGACGAACGAGGCCGACGGTTTAGGGTTTAGGGTCATTTGACTTGCACTGGGGTCTCGTACTGCCAGTTTATTATAGTATTAAGGAACCCACGAATCGCCCGAAGACGGGTAGCATCATGCCGTCATCCGCTTTCTGGCGTAGTCCAACCTACCGCGTACTAGGGCCCCTGAATAGCAAAAACATATACATATAATCACGGAACTAAGGATGCCTCCATTGCAAATTTTGCGAGGCTGGACCAGAAAGGAAGCCCAACACCCACGAAACTCCAGAATACCGTTAAGGGTCTGCAGTGTAGGGTATGGTATTTGGGCTTTAACCTGATACGGAAAACGAAGCACACTACAAATCTTGAGTAACATCAATCTGCATGGCTGCAGACGTCGCTGAACCGCACTGCGCCCGCAGACCTCACCCTTTGAGTTTGGCACTAGGCTCCTAAACCCAAACCCTCTAAGCCCTCAGGGTCCAAGCACCCATGTAGTATCACAGTATCCAATTTGTAGTTTGGCATTCAAGTATACATACAGGAGCCCCCCTAAGTCCAAAACCATATGTATATACAAATATCGAAAACCCTGAACGACGCCCTCTGGACGTTAGGGCAGCAGCCGCTGGCAAGAGGAGACTCTATATAGAAGCCCGAAATAAAGACACTTGCAATGCCAGGATGCCCCAATACTGCGAATGTAGGAATGTAGGACACCACGGAGGCTACTCGGGCGAGGGCTCTATGACATGCGCGCCGTAACAATAAAATTGGACAACTGGGGAATAGTATGGTACGTGTACAACTGCGTATAGGGACGATACGGTGATTCCATTGCTGACTTCGAGTGCACTGCATTACCCAGAGGCCCCAAAGTAGTTCCTTTTTGGGACTACCTTATAGGAGCCAAAAAACGAACCCCAAAAAGGAACTACTTCGGGGCCTATGGGTAGCCACTCAAAAACAGTGGCCTCTCGGTAGACAAAGCGCGGATCCCAGGAATAAGGCAGAACGCTCACCCTCAGGTGGGCAAACTCCTGTCCACTGCAGAATTTGGGGCGTACGGCTTAGGGTTGAAAACCATAACCATATAAACCATCATGTCGCAACCCTAAATCAGGGTTCAGGGTTCAGGTATCGTATGGGGGTCTGGAGCTATCTATGTCATGCACCTCCAAGCCGAACAAAGAGCTGTGGGAATGGCAAAAGGCGAGAACTATTGATGGATCCCAAGTTTTGAATTAGGTCGTGCGGTATAAACCCTAAACCCTATAAACTCTAAACCCCTACACCCTAGCCTATAAACCCTAAACCCTCTGCATGCAAACTTTGCAAGCTGTCGAAACCCAACCAGACCCGACTCTACACCCAATCTTCCCCACTTAAGGTAGAAGCCAGAAAGTTGGAATATGATTATCCTAACCCTTCTATGGTAAATTATAGGGTATCCTACCATGAAACCATATTCCAACTTTCTGGAGTTCCCTGTAAGATGACACCATGCCTTCGAAGTCCGTGTATTGAAACAAGTATACGATATCCCGTAACCTCCCGACATGACAGAATCTCTTTCCGCACTATCCCAAAGGCAGCTACACATCCTTCGGGTGTGGAGGTTCTTGAGGTCGGGGATCACACCCCCCATTAAGGTTCTGTCTGCCCATATGGTAGATGCAAGAGATTCCAGGGCTTCCTATACGTTTGCATTTCAGGACCAAAGAAGCACGGTACAATTGAAGAAGTGGCCTGATGGATTTCACGTGCGACCATTCCTCGATCCACACCCCAACACCTCTCAGAGCATGAACGCCGAGCTCAAGACCTTGAAAACAGACCTACGGTTGAGGATATAAATCCTGCATTACCCATAATAAGGAATATACCATGCTTCCCATAGTTTAGGGTCGGGTCTCGAAGTTCTCAACCCCAAAAGGGAAACTTCGGGAAAGTCTGCAAGGAGTCCTCCTGGCGCAAAGACCTCAGAAGACAGCCTAGACATGCTCAGACGCGGTGCCCTCCCCGAAGGATCGCAGGCATTAGGGCTTAGCTGCCTATGTCAGCACTTCTAAGCTTGCCGATATCTATGCATTTGCCGATCTATCTATCGATGCATCTATCTATCCCGCAACGGGTCCAAAGTACCTAAGGCCTAAGACCCTTTGGGCGTCGATCTACCCGTGCATTCGCGTATGTTGAGCCTGAATGCCAACGTGGATCTTGTGCTCCAGGATTCGGGCCAAGAGCTTCGGGTTTCGGGGTTTATAGACCCTAAAGGATTTCGGGTCTAGGGTTTAGCGTGCAGGGTCTAGAGGGTTTATAAGGGCTTGGTTCTTGGGGCTTAGGGTGTAGGGTCTCGGGTTTAGGGGTAACTTATGTAGGGTATAGAGTCTTGGGTTTAGGGCTTATGGTTTAATTCATTGGTTTCAAGAGTTTCGGGTCTAGGGTCTCGGGTTTAGATGGTTTAGGCTTTAGGGGCGAAGCGATGAACCAACTTGCTTCCAATGCGAAACTCGAAACCCTAACCTAACCTGAAAGCCCTAAACCTAAACCCTAAACCCTAAACCCCAAAACCCTAAACCCTAACCTAAACCCTAAACCCTAAAACCCTAAACCCTAAACCCTAAACCCTAACCTAAACCCTAAACCCTAAAACCCTAAACCCTAACCTAAACCCTAAACCCCTAAACTCTCCCAAGGAAAAGGCTGGTGCTGGGCCCCGGGCCAGTTCAGGACGGAGACCGGACGTCGAGATTGGAAAGCTCGGCTTACGACCTGTTTCTTTGTGCGGGGGGTGGGCCTATGTAGGGTAGAGGGATTTAAGGGTTTAGGGTTTGAGGGTTATGGTAAAGGGGTGTCGGTTTCGGGGTTTAGGGCTTAGGGCAGCTAGACCCGAACCCGAAACCCGACCAAATCCCTGCAAACCCGGAATCCGAAACGCTGCACCGAAACTCAACACCCCCGCCACTCCCCGACTCGACCCCAAAGCAAAAAGAAACCGAAACCCTGTGACCCCCAAAGCAAGCCCCTAAACCCCCAACCCTTGAACCCCAGACCCTAAAGGCCCGCGGCTTAGGGAAAGGACGCAATTTTAGTTCAGGTATAGTTTAAGATCGTTTTGGATTTAGATTTTTTTGTGATGTGTAATGGCCTTGGCCTTTTTGATCCAGCCCACCAATATTTGGCATACACACTATTTAGGGTTTAGGGAATTCCCCGTCCCCCGCGGTGCCAGCAGCGCCAGGGAAGTCCCACAGCCAGCGGCCGCAAGGCCGTTCAGTAGAGCCTCGGCAGCGCCGGGGCTGGAGCTACCCCTGGCCGTCTTCTTGATTATTCATGCAGATATAGTCATATTGAGTTACCAGTGGTTTGTACTTACATACAATACAATACAGTACAATACAGTACATACGCGTATATATATATATATATATATATATATATATATTATATATTATATATATATATATATATATATATTATATATATATATACACATATAGACATGTTATAAAGTAACTTTTATGTATCATGGCATCTGGGCCCAAAGCCTGGAAATTTCATTCCTTGGGGCCTTGGGGTAGTAGTATACTTGATACTTGGACCCTTGCGGAGACGGCTGTCGGGCGCAGGGCCTTGGGGCAAGAGGCCAGGGCTTGGGGTGCTTGCTCCGACTAGTGACTAGGGCCGAACCCTCAACCCTAAAGACATTGTAAAGACCCCAGACCCTTAAACCCAGAAGAACCTAAAAAACCCCAACCCTAAACCCTTTCCTCTCTGAAAATAACGGTGGGGCTCGCTTACAATTTACCCAGAGGCCCCAACGTAGCTCCTTTTTGGGACTACCTTATAGGATTCCATATATGAACCCGAAAAAGGAACTACTTTGGGGCCTATGGGTAGAGGCTAGCGAACCCCACCGCTTCCCAGTTCCTACGCTACCCCCACCCGACCTCACACTTACCATAGCTAGATGCCTTAACACTTAGAACAACAAAGATTCGGTGTACATGGCAGTCTATTCATAAAAGGGAAGGAATCCTGAGAAGAATAAAGCTCTATGCACGATAATTAGAGTCATTACACGGAGAAAAGATGCTTGTGAAGGGTTTAAGCGATAGGGAGGTTTCATGAACTTCCACAAAAGAGACCATGAGAAGCCCCTAAACCCTAAACGCCAACCCCAAACTCCCGGCATCCTTGATCTAAACCCTAAACCCTAAACCCTAAAACCTGACCCTGAACATCCTAGACCCCAGAACCTGAAAGGCCCAAAGCTTCAGCTATGTTTTGTCAACTTCCCTGAGGCAAAACCAAAGGACGCCACTTTGGTTCAGGTATAGTTTAGGAGCGTTTTGGGGTTTAGGGTTTAGGGGGTATAGTTTAGGAGCGTTTTGGGGTTTAGGGTTTAGGGGGTATAGTTTAGGAGCGTTTTGGGGTTTAGGGTTTATGGTTTCAAGCCCCCCGAAGCCCTAAGCCGACGTCGATTGCACTTTTCTTCTCGCTTCGGCTCTCCCGAAAACTGCCCCATCAGTAGTACGCACTTGTCGGATTTCCCAGGACACCAGAGTTCACCTCTCCCTGGCGGAAACGTAGATCGCAGGGCAGACGATGGGGTTGGGACTTTGGCGGTTTCGTTGTGTTGGGTTTGCGGCTTTGGGGTTTTAGAGCTTCAGGTGGATAACTTTCAATAAATGAGCACTACCTAATCTCTTCTGAGCGCCACAAGGGAGTTTCGGGACTTCGGGATACCTAAGCATACCAACGTCTCCTGACTGTCTGAAAGCCTCCCACAAAAGTACGATCCCGATCATAACCTCTTAGTATCAGTCTGGAAGGGCCCTTAGAGGTACCAGTTTAGGGCTAGAGGCTTGGAGCTGGGTTTATAAGGTCTTTAGGTTCTAGTCTATAATTTTGGCCTTAGATATGTAAGAGTTCCGAGAATTGCAAGGCCATACCGTATGGTGTTGCACGAAGTCTTCGGACCAGATCTAGCGGAACTGTTGGAGCAATGCGCATCACTAAAATATATAGGGTCTTCAGTACTTCGAAAGGGGTAAAGCCCTAAACCCTAACATAGCGCAACTCTTCGGGGACTTCACAAAAAGGTACAACTACTTGTAGCAGCTGTTCAGACCCCGCTCCTTTAAGTAGAACGGATTCCAGAACACACCCTCCCGAGCCTGCAGGCAGCACAGGACTATAGCTCCCGCTACCACGAAGAACCTAAGCAGGCTGCATCGTGGAGTCGGAACCGAGCTCTATCTTTAAGTTAAAAAAACTTGCGAGCATTCCACGTTATGGATCGCAAGTTTTCGGGCGAGTTGCATGAAGCCTTACCCCTAAACCCTAAAATAGCGTGAACCCTAAAACCAACCTACCCCCCCGCCCAACCCCCCCGCGGAAACTTTTGGGTTCAAAAACGGCGCAGCGACGACTTGGACTTCGGTTCTCATCCAACTTGCACCCAGAAACCGTGAATGCGGCCTAAGGAGTGAAGGCAACATCCTCGCAGGGTTCAGGATTTATGGGTTTAAGGGTTTATCATGGTTCAAGAGCATTCGTGCTTAGTTCCTGAACCCTAAACCATTGGCCATTGGTCGAGGTGTTGCGCTGCAAAACAGACTCGCGGCATTCAGCTAACCCCGAGCCCTAGTCTACTAATTCAGCCTCGTGCACCCACAAATGCCAAATTCTGTAAGCCCCTGATACACCTCCCCATAATGCACACAGATGAAAAACACATGCGTACATGAGTATGCTTATGCGACATAGGAGAAAAACAAACGTGTGTTTCGGCCGAAACTTTGGACAATTCCTCGGCTCCTGGCCACACCTTCAGCCCTAAACCCTAAAACCTAAGCCCTAAAACCGACAAAAGCCAGGAAACAGCACGGACACGGTGGCGCCATCAAGTTCCTCTTGCTGCACGAGCTCCAGATCCTGCCGCACAGAGAACTCCTTTAAGGGATCTCTAACTCCTTTAAAGGAGTCATGAAGGATTCTTAAGGGCTCCTTTAACAGCGCCTTGAAGGTTCCAAAGGGCACCTTGCAGATGTTGAGTTGGTTGTTGTGTCTTGGGCCCTATGCTCAGTAGAGTCCATGTTGGGCTTTAGCCAGGCGTCTTGAGTCGTCAGGTGAGGGTTCAGCCTCCCCCCCCCACTGCTCCCCTCCCCCCCCCGCCGCAGTGTGGGTCTGCTCCGGGTTCTACCTATACTCTCCATTGTAGTTCCTTTTTTTGGTTAGCCAGTTTTATGGTTAGGATCCTATAAAAGAGTTTTCGGTTAACCAAACAAGGAACTACAATGGAGACTATAGGTAGGGTTAGTGGCTTGGCTCTAGGCCAAAAACACTGGAAGTTCAAAAAGTACCACGCTTCTATGCAGAGGACTTGCGCAGAAGCAATCCCCTGTACACCCTGACTGCTGGATTTTGGCGCCTGCAAGATCTCGGCTTAAGAATTCTCTTCAGCAAAGCAACTTTTCACGCGGCAGCGATGCTTGCTCCGGATGCTTCCTTGGACGAGCACCTCCAACCAATTCGGCACGTACGTGTGCAGCCAGGGCGATGCGAAGCATGTAAAATAAATAGTTGCAGAAGTCTGATGGTAAAGCCCTCGAATTCTATCGGACTCTTAGACAACCATTTATTCTGTCTCGAATTCTGTCAGAATCTTAGAAAGCCCTTAATTCTGTGTCCGTTGTCCTGGCCGGATTCTTGACCTGGGCCACCTGGGCGTTCAGCCGCACGCTGGGAGAGCTCCAAGCGCACCGAGCTGCTCTGTTGTCCTCTGTTCAGGGGCTGCAAGGGTTTAAGGGTATAGGGCTTAAGAGGTTTGGTAGTTAGTAGTCTTTGGGGGTGTTGGATTTTGGGGGGTTGCCAGGGTTTGCGGTTTGGGCTGCGGGGTCTTACTTTTCGGTTTCGGGTTTGGTTGGGGTTTGAGGCTTAGGACTTCCACGGAAACCCTTGAATCGTGAAGGTTTCGAAACCTCGATGTAGGTATTCGCAGTATTCGCCCCAAAAAAGCTCTATTCCGGAGTGTTAAGATGTCAGTCGTGATCTTAGGGCCTCAGGGTATCTTAATATCAATTCCCTAAGCCTTATAAGGTTTAGGGTTTTGATATTAAGATATATGTTAAGCTTTCAAAGTGAATCATAAAGACCCTGAAAGCCCCAGGCTCCAAATACCAAGACCCTACATAGGAGTTTCCGAAAATCGGGGACCCTATTCTAGTCGGATTATAAGGAACCCCTAACTATCGGAAACTCTAAAACCTAACCCTTTATAGAACCCTTACAGATCTATTTAAAGGAACCCTTATATGGAGCCCTTCAAGGGTACCCCTACGTTTCGGAATCTCCTAATATAAACCCTCAGTGCATTGCTGCGGCCTCTCCCTGAAACGAAGGCCATGGCGATGCTGTGGAGTGCAGCCACGGCCTGATCTTCTTGCAGATTGTTGAAAATCGCTGGGCCGGGGGGGCTTTGTCAATCAGGGCTCTTAGTTTCTAGTGCTACTAACCCGATAATCGCACCCAAAGTATACACTTACCAGCATTCCTAATGCCACATGCCAGCACCAACACCCCAGCATAAACCCCACCCCATGTTTTCTAGTCAAGCCCACGAGTAATTATACCCGACTGACGTTACAAGCAACAAAGGTCACTGTTGCTCCTGCTTAAGATTCTACCATACTTGGGGGATCATGGGACTTAGTAAGTATGGTTATAAGTACCCTAAGTGGGGTTATATCTAATTATAAGTCTAGTTACCTTAATTATAACCCTAGTTACTAAGTCCCATGATCCCTTAACTACCAAAATTAGACAACAGCGTCCTGAAACGCCGGCCAGAGGCAAAGAGGAGCGCGAGGAACGCAACGATACGCCCGGGCTTCCGCATTGGGGCTCAAGCTTTGGGGCCTTAGCCGTCGTGTCAGTTTAGGTTTCCCGTAGGCCGCAAAGTAGTTCCTTTTTGGGGACTACCTTATAGGATTCTATATATGAATTTTGGTACTTAAGGGATCATGGGACTTAGTACCTGGGGTTATAATTCAGGCAACTAGACTTATAATTAGATATAACCCCACTTAGGGTACTTATAACCCTACTAAGTCCCATGATGAACCAAGTACCCATAGGCCCCAAAGTAGTTCCTTTTTGGGGACTACCTTATAGGATTCTATATATTAAACCCCAAAAAAGAACTACTTTGGGGCCTATGGGTAGAGCTCAGGGTCTATAGAGGTTTGGGGTTTAGTTTAGAGGTTAGAGCGAGCGTGGGACTTAGTGGTACGGTTGATGATATAAATCCTGCATTTACCCATAATAAGGCATATACCGCCATAATTCCCATAGTTTAGGGTCCTTAAGGTAATGCAGGATTTATATCATCAACCGTAGTTCTATTGCCTTGATGATCCGAAGGAAAGTACACTGATCCTCCAAGACAGGCCGAAGTGACTAACGGCAGGTAAGGTTACAGTCGGTTATTGTCCCGACGTCTCCACTGCATAGTACCCACTACAGAATCCAGGCAACTCGCTGGACTTCTAGGGCGCATTTCCACCGAACTAATGAAGACCTCGCCCTTCAGTGAAGGACCGAAACAGCGCAATCTGAAAGCCCACAACCCTACAAGGCCCTAAACCACAAAGAAAACCCACACTCCATGACCCTGAACCATCGAAACGGTCCCACACCCAACAACCCCTTAACCCGAGAAGCGGACCACCCAAGCCGGCTGACAAGAGGCGAAAACTGTGTAAGGACACAGGGCCAGGGCGCACAGTTTGCACGCCGAATTTGAACCAATGTGCTGCGACCACAAAGTTTTCAATTTCGCCCATTGGGTTTGCGGTTTTCGGGTTCGGGGGGGTTTCAGGATTTAGGGCTTTAGGGTTTCTCAGTTTGGACCTGAATCTGGGTTCTTGTTGAGGAGTCTAATTTAAGGTACCATATACCCTATTATGCTAATTTAAACTAGAATCCTTAACGAGAACCCAGGGATCCTTTCACCACACCCTACCAAGCCCGTAACCAAGCCAGGCAAAGCCATACGTCCTACGCCAGCAGCATCCGACCGAACAAAACGTAGCAAACTCTGCACCTGGACCCGCAATCCCCAAGCCCCGAAACTAGTTCATGGTTGAGATAGGATTACAACTTTAAACTGATATTCCTTCTTGGGTTTAAGTACCTATAAAAAATGTAAAATGTTACCCAACTATGACCAAGGACATCTAAACCGTGAAGCTCTCTGTCCGGCAGCTTGAAACTGTTCAACCCCCATCCTCAGTTTACTGCCCGCGAGAAAGCACAAACGCCCTAATCCCAAACCCTAAGGGTCCAAGTAGTTCCTATTTGTGGTTTCTGGTACAAAAAGGTCCGAAAGTCCTAAAGTAGGGAGTACTTGGACCCTCTGGGAAACCCGAAACAAAATCCCAAACAGTACGGGTCCAAGCCTGACCCCGGGAACCCAAAAGCCGTCCGTTTAACAGCCCAAAGGGTCCTATGTACCGATATAGTAGAATGTAGGTTTTCTATATTCGGAATTACTAGTATGACTCAGGGAAGGATCCCTCATAACAGTACATAGGACCCTTTGGGGAGGGTTCTGTATAGCCCACAAGATCCATGAACCTTTATGCCAAAAACTTTGGTCTAAGGGGTTCCGAGAATTCAATGCAGACTGTGCCCCATACATATCGGAACCTGATCCATTATAGGCACATCTCTGGATCGATAGATGTCCTGAGTTATATGCACAGAACTATATGGGCATTCGGGGCTACATAGATCCACCGAGAATCTTCAGTCGCACCTTGGCAAGAGGCTCACAACACAAGGGCTTGAGGCCTGGCTATTGGGCTTCTGCCAACATGGATCTACGAAAAAAACATTTGGAGTTTCCGAGTGGGCAACCGTACGGCCTTAATGATTCGAAAGCCCTGAACCTGAAACCATGTACCCAACTCAAAACCCTGGGACAAGCAAGCCCCTCTGAACAAACCCTCAAACCCATAACCTGAAAACGAAACCTTGAACGCCTAGGACACCCAAAACCCCGAAGCCCCAAAAATCCCGAAAACCCCTAAACCGCAAACCCTACACCCGAAACCCTAAACCCCTAACTCCTCAACTCCTAAGCCCGAAACCCCTCTACCCTATAATGGGCTATATAATGGCTATATTAAGGGTATATACCTAGGGGTCCTTGTTAAGGGTCCCTCCTTTCCCCTCAACCCCCAAGTCTCCCAAAAAGCGAAAACCCTCTCAGGCCCCAGGCAGGGCCCAACTCATCCGCCGGGGCAGAGCGCGGTAGCCTGAGCCGGCTAAGGGTCTCTCGCGCGTGCGATGTGAAGGCTTATAGGGGGCAAAACCTTCGGATTCCAATTGATTTAAATCCGGTGCTAAAATCGAATTCCAGCCATAATGAGGCTTCTAGGGCTTAGGGTTTATAAGGTTTGGGGTTTAGGCAAGGTTTAGGGTTTAAGGTATAGGGCTTCTTAGGGTTTAGGATAGAAAGCTTAACTTAAGGTTTGGTTTATAGGGCATGTAGGGTTTCGGGTTTAGGGTCTAGGGGGGTTTGGGGTTTGTAGAGGTTTAGGCTTTTGGGTGTATAAGGCTTTACGGTTTGGAGTTAATGGGGCTTCAGATTTGTTGAAGAGTTACAGAATCAGGCGCAGTGAGGTGACTCGTGAGGTTTAGCACAGACTGCAAGGCTTAAGGCTTTAGACGATGGGAACAACCAGGGGGGATGCTTCTTAGCTTAACATGGGCTAAAGACGACATTTGCAAGGATAACGTTAACGTCTGTTTAGTCTCATCTTCATCCGCCTCTTCCTCATTCATCATGGTCTCAGTCTTCGCAGGATGTTTTGGATCACTGCATCCTGCTTGCAGTTTCCGGGTTCATCTCGTTCAAGCTCCCCCTCTTCTTCAACGCAGCACACGTGCAAAGTCAGCAGCTTAGCCCAGCACTTCAAGGCCAGTGACTTCGGCAAAGAGCCGGTTGCACCGGAGCCTGCTTTGAAGCTGCATGGCGAGCGTTTAAAGCTTCCGGGCACTCGCTAAAAGGCTTAACTCTGTTTGAGACTCCGGTGCTTGAAGTTTGGTGATCTGTGCATTTCAGATGGTGGACAAAGCCATCGTAACCAGAGAGAAGCCCTAAATCCTGCAGTGTCCTACACCTCTGCACCCGGGAAGAATCCTTCAGATGGTGGACAAAGCCATCTTAACGTGGGATAAATCCTAAACCCTGAATCCCTGAACTCAGAACCCTTCGGATGGTGGACAAGGCCATCTGCCACCCAAAAACCTGAAGCAACAAACGCAGAACTCCTCTGATGGTTGACAAAGACATACAAGGAATGTCCTGCAGCTTGCGCTGCAAGGCCAGATGTGCTCCGATCCCGGCGTGCCGCACTTTCAGTAGTACCTATTAGTCTCCATTGTAGTTCCTTTTTGGGGTTACCTTTTAGGATCCCTAATATAAAAGTGGTTAAACCAAAAAAAAAAAGGAACTACAATGGAGACTATAGGTACCAAGCCCGACGTTCTTTGCAGAAGACGTCAATTCCCAGGCCCCAGGCCAGCGAGACCACGGAGACCCGGCGCGATGCAGTCCCGCCAACCCAAAGGGTCCTATGTACTGTTAGGGGGTATACTTCCCTAAGTCATAATAGTATTTCCTAATATGGAAACCCTACATTCCTCCTACATTCTACTGTATCGGTACATAGGACCCTTTGGGCAACAACCCTGCAAAACAAACACCGCGCAGGGCATCCTCGACGGACGTGGCTTTGGCAGCTCGATCTCTGAACCCTAACCCCAAGCCCCGAGGAGCCTTGTAATATCGGGGCCTTAATGATTAGAATAGGGTTTTGGTGCCCATTATACCATAGGTAATTGTTTACGCCTCTATACTAATGTCCGCTTGGGGAGACATGGCACGCCCTCAAAAGGCCGGCAAGGTCTTGCGTAGGAGCTCGAGTCGTGTGGCTTCCTTCTCGTTTTCGAAGTGCGCCTACCCTAAACCCTATAAGCCCTAAAACCCTAATTAAACCCTAAGCCCTAACCCTCTAAACCCCTAAACCCTAAACCCGGTGACCCTGAACCCCTAAAACCTAAACCTGGATCCTCAAACTGTCAATCAACCCGGAGCCCTCAGCCGCAGCTAACCCTGGAATTACGTTTCCTTCCGGGGGCTCATCATCTCCTTCGAAGTCGAAGGTTCAGGACTTCTTCATGAAAAAACCGGGCTTCATGTACTCACAGTTTCGGAACGGCGTGGGGATCGGGGAAGTAGCGTGTAGCGCCAGCTTCAGCTAACAGCAAGGGCTACTGTAGGGTTTAGGGTTAGGGTACTACGATGTTAAACAGCAGCGTGATCTTGCAAGTAGAGCACAGTACGTCTTAACAGACCTCGCAAAAGCTACGCAAAAGTCACTTGACAATGGTTCAACATAAACCCACAAATTTTCGCGACGGGAGTCTGTTTTTTCAATTTTTGGCCTTTAGCCCAAACCCGATCATAGGTCATGACTCATGTTGGGTTTAGGTTTGTTGTTCTGAAGTGTGGTTTAGGGTTGAGGGATTTACGCAGGATGTCTCGGATCCATCGGCGAGGCCTCTTAGCGAGAACTGCTTGAGGGCAGCAGCCGCTGCCAAGGCGGCCTGAAAGGGCTCACCGAAAACCCATTTGCCACAGGGTTGAGCACTTCCAGGACCCCCCCCCAGTACCCTTTAATAGAGATAGTATAGAGCCCTATTACAGACCTTAATGGAGGGTATTTGGGGTGCAATACAAGGTAGTTGGGGGGTCTAGGTTTGCACCTCTCTAAGAGGGCAGTTGGGGTTGTCTGGATTTTGGGTATGGAGTTTGAAGGACAGACATCC